CCTAGGTCCCTGGGGAGTCGAGGTGTTGCAGGATGTAATGCAGTGCCATGTTCACTGCATCGTCCACTGACCTGGTTGATGAACTGCAGGGGGTCCTCTACAGCCCGGTTGGTGAACTGCAGGGGGTCCTCTATGATGTCCTTCAGGTTGGCTAACACCAGTCATTCGAAGGACTTCATGACTACAGATGTCAGGGTGACAGGTATGTAGTTGCTCAGTCCACTGATGGAGGGTTTCTTGGGGACTGGGATAATGGTGGAGCGTTTGAAGCAGGAGGGGACGTCACACAGCTCCAGTGATCTGTCGAAGATGAGTGTGAAGATGGGGGCCAGCTGGTCAGTGCACACTTTCAGGCAGGAGGGGGTCACGCCATCTGGGCCTGGTGCCTTTCTGATCTTTTGTCTTTTAAAGAGGCCATGCACATCCTTTTCACAGATCGTTAGAGGTGGGGGGCTGGCAGGAAAACGCTACTGGTCTCATTCGCTTTGTGACCATAACTGTTTTAGTCCATCACAAAAGATGCCAAACTAAAATCACCAAAGAAGGCAGTTCAATACAACACTCAGCTGTTCAGCTTTTACATCTCACTGTATATTTAGGGGGTGTAACTACTGAATGAAAATGACTAAACTCAAAGTAAAAGCTACTTCACTTGGTTCACCCCATTCAATTTAGTAATTGATCAGTCTTCATTTCTTAAACACTTTCATTATAAACAGGCTGTTCAAAGAGCTACAGCTGAATAACCATCCAGTGACATCACCATACGAGGATGTGCACAATCACACTGACAGAACACACAATGTGATGTTTTTTTACTAACAAAACATCTCCTCCTTCATGTAACAAACTGACTCCAACCAGTGGTGCAGTGTTCATGTATTACTGTTAAAGGGAATTGTGCTCGCTATGTGTGCTAAAAGTTTAGCACAACCCTGGGAGGCGAGCGAACGGTACAGCTTGTTTATGGGGGTCTCGTCTCTGGCCACGAGCAGTCACTTGCCCCTGACCCCTGTAAACCAAACAAACACTAAGCCAGCAATGCCAGAACCTGACAACACAAACTATACATTACAACTTCTGTGCTCCCTGCTAGGCGCGTGGGAGGCAGCTCCGCACTGCCTGCTCCAAGGCAGTATATGTACATGTGTGTGGGTTGCTGCCTTAGTTCTTTCCAAATTCATTTTTATCGTTGTCCTCGCTGCTTTATACACAATTACTGTGTTTCCACTCCCTGTGTGCAGCGGTTAGAGGCTGTTCAGCCATTGCTGTGTTGGCATAATATTTCAAACGTCTGCATATGGGGAGAATTTGTTTCTGTTTAGGGATGTAAACCATGACTCTGAACTAGAGTGCGTGTGTTTATGGTGGTGTGATTGTACTGAGCAATTTGAGTGCCTCTATTCATATGTTCCTAGTCCGTACTTGTCTATCTCGATGCCCAGTGGATTGCTGGGTCGCAGGGAGAGGGGGGAGATGCCTTTGTTGCGGTTGGCCCTCATGTCGTAGTAGTTCAGCTCATCCACCCACACAGCAGACTGGTCCAGGATACCTGCAGGAAAAGGGCAGGACAGGCAAGACACACGTTACTGAGCTCCACAACACATCCCAGATGTGTGCTCACACACGGACTGCACACCTGCAAACAATACACCCAACATCACGTAGGAAACACTTGTGGCTTGACACCAACATTTTTTTAAAATTATTCTAGTATCTGTGCCTTGTATTGTTTTACCTTTTAATTAGTTGGTAGTGTACAGTATTGTATCTTTCTTCCTATTGTAATTTTTAATATTGCCACTTCTGTAAAGTCCTAGAAAAGTGGCAGAGGGACCTCAGCTCAGCAAATGGACAGAATGCAAGCAAATGAAGAAAACATCTTGATCATTCTGATGTTGCATGTAAGAAAAATGTAAATAAAAAACCAATCAATTTAGAGAAACACATTCACAAATCTGACTATACAGCATAAAGTAACACTGCAAGTTGTATACAGCAACAGAAGTTTCCAAAAACTAATAAAGATACTGGTGTAATTGGCAAAAGAGTAACACCATGTGTACAGACAATATCTCTAGTGCAACTAGAATCATAAAATAGACAATAAAAAGTGATAATCATTTTTGGCTAACTATCCAACATTACTGACATGCTGAGCAAATCATATATCCAGGCATGTCCATCACTGTTTGGTCAATGCGTTTCTCGGTTTCCTTGTGTTTACGCTGTTAGAAATGTGGTGGACAAGTCTTGTCCATTTAAAAGGTGCAGAGTTTGAGGCTCCCTCCCTCCTAAACTTTCAGAACTTCCTCATACTTTTTAAGATGCTGTTAAGTTTAGTTTTATTTAAAAAGGTTCCTCATTTGAAAGAAAGGTGAGAGAGTCATACAGATTGTAAAACCACTGGAAACAAACATTACACTTGACTGGAAGGGGCTGGGAGTAGTACTGAAATCATTTGTTAATTATTTGAGAAAAAATTAATCAACAACTACTGTGCACTGACAGTCATTTTATTGTTTGCAGCAATTTTATTAATCCAGCAAAGCTCCTGCATGCAGCCACTTAAAATTCAAGGATTTTCTGTTTTCCTTTGTTTATATCAATGTCAGTTCAATATGTTCAGATTTTGACCTGTTGTACAAATAAATAAGTCATCTGAAAACGTCACTGTGGGCTCTGGGACCCTGCAAAAGGCACATTTCACTACGTCATGACATTAATTTTTCAAAAATAATAATAAAAAAAAAAGTGGGGTGATCATTCTTTTGTCGTATATGCCCCCAAGCTCTGGAATACCCTGCCTCCTGAGCTTCGGTCTATAACTGATTTAATGGTTTTTAAGTCTAAATTAAAGGTACATTTATTCAGACTGGCTTTTGGCACTTATGGCAGTGGCGCTATACAGGTGCCTACAGACTTTTTGATTTTATATTCTGCAATCTTATTGTGTTTGTAATTTGAAACATTTTTATTGTATAGGAGTTTTATAGTTCCTTACAGACCTTGGTTCCAAATTTGTGTAATTTTAACTTGTGTTCATTTTCAATAGTTTATGTGCCTTAACATGTTCTGCTTTTATTTTTATATATTTTGCTGTGAAGCACTTTACAACACCCAAGGGTGCTCAAAGTGCTATATAAACAAATAAATGAAATGAAATTTTAAATTAAAAGACAACCTGTTAATGTAAATAATTAATAGTTGCAAATATTTTTGTCTCCTATTGTGAGTCTTACCAATCCTATCAGGTCTAAGCAGTTTGAATGAAACTGTGGAGGTACCAAGACCCCCAGACTTAGTGGTGACAATGATCTCTCCCTTGTCGTCTTTGGCAGGACCCACGCGGCACACTATCTTGCTGGCTGACATCCACTCAGCTGTCAGCAGGCAGTTATGGCCGCAGATAGACAAACCTGGGTTGGGAAAGAGAGGGTAAAGGTGAAAAGGGTTAGCGATACAGACACACCATGACAGCGTAAATAAACTGTAGCACAGACTATCTATGACAAGAGGTGCACACTCAGACAGAATTGGCATTTGTCAGCAAGTTTAGTCAAAACTGTCACCATGGGTCAAAGTTGGAGTTGGAGTCACTATGGGTGTGGGTGGCCGTGACCTTTCTTGCTCTCTCAGCTCCTTTAAGCCAACGTGTCACTTCAGTGCTAAGTGGCTCGTTACCAGCATAGTGTGCATTCTGCTCCTACATCTGTCGCCCTCTTTTTAAACCTTCTTGTATACTATTCAGACAGACACAGGATTACTATGACATTTCCAGTTGAAGGGATTCAGTAAGTTTCATGTGTGTATACTCAAACATCATAACAGCCTGTGAGAGCTAATCAACAAATAACCCATAAAACCGTGAATAATATGCCAGTTAGAGTCCCGTTTCCTGCATCTGTTCTCCAGTGGCCACTTTGTTTGAATACTTAAGCACTCACACAGATTAGTGCATTTTAATTGTCCAGTTCCAGGCCCCAGGGAAATTCATGGTCAGAAATAGACCTGTATCACTGGTCACAGCACGGCTTGCCAAGTGTGGAGCAGTGTCTGAGCCCTACAGACAGCCCCCACCTCTGTTAACAACCAAAGATGCAGCGTAAAGGAGGGAAAACATCAGTATAAAGGTGTGATGCTCAAACTCATAAGTCATCTGTGTGGCTCTTGAAAACCATAAGATAAACACCAACATATTTTCATATTAAAGCACACTGATAAGCTCTTGAGTTTCTCAAGCTGGGCATACAGTAACCTAAATATTTATAGAAACACAAATTTGTGTTTTTATTGTGTTGCTGAAAAAGCAGGCAGACAAACAGTACCACAGAAGTAGCTGAACTATAATACACAACAGTGAAATATCTAAATACTGTGTATTATTTGGTAGGTCTGAACTGAGGTTTTCTATTCTTTTTTGTTAATGTGCTTTTTTCCTTCTACTAAAACTACTAAGGTGCTTTCACCACAAAACCAGGGGATTATTTTGCCCTGTGAACATTAAAGACCATTTCCAGCATTAAATATTTCCACATAAAATGCACAATGTCTCAATTTATGATGGAAATCAAGATAAACTGGTAAAAATAGATCAAATTAATTTATATTTTATTTAGACATTCATGTACATAGCCATTTTAAACTAAATGATAATTAATAGCTGACATTGTTTTTACTTTTTCAATACAAAAATTGTTGCAGAATTAGTAATTACTGTATATTGCTTAAGATTTAAATTGTCCTCAAAATAAACAGTGAAAAGGTGATGAAATTCTTATTAGAAAAAGAATCAGGGGTCCTGTCTACTTACATATCATATAAGCAAAAACAAACGTTACATCAGCCTGGTTAAAAAGGGGCTGCTCTGGTTTGTTGAATGATTAGTTAATAAAATCAGTTAATATAACTAAAGTTACAAAATACTCAACATAACAGAAATTAAAAATAAAACAGCCAAATGTAATCAATATCAGTATGGTTCTTCAGTAAAGGAGAAATATAAACAAAGGAATGATGTAAAAATAAATGTTAATTACATAAAGTGATGACATTTTGTATATTTATATAGGTGTGACGTTCTATATATCTATGCTGTGCATATCTATCTAGAGATAATTTATATAACTAAATGTATATTTTATTACGCGTGAGCAAGAAAGAACAAATATGAAGGGGAAGTATATAAAACATCACCAGGGTGAAATCGGATAACTTTACATGAAGATAGTATTTCTTATCGTAAATGTATTTTTAAAAGCTGAAACCAACATAGAAAATATAACACTTTATGAAGACAGGTCTGCATGTGTGGGTAGCTATGCGGTTATAGACGTATTACCGATGAGGTCAGCTGGGCCTGTGCCCAAGTTTTCTCCTCGGATGGTAACTTTGGTCCAGGCTGCACCCTCCTTGGGCGAGATGCCTGTGACCAGCGGGGGCTGACGTGCGCGAGACATGGTGGCCTGGGGCAGACAGGAACACTGGATCGATCAGCACCTGGACATGACAAATAACAGGCAGGGGAGGAGTACATAAGGGGACCGGTTAACACACAACTCAGCAACCTCTGCATACTGATGGTTAACACTAGGAAGACCTCTAGAAATAAAGCAATCAGTGATCAGATTCATTGGTTATTTACAGTAAATTAATCAAGTGTTTTTTTTAATCATTTCACTGTTTAAATCATTTATAAAAGTAAAAACATTTGTTGGTTAAAGATTGTCAAATCTGACAATTTGCTTGTTTGTCTTTGTTACACACAACTATATATGTGATCCTGTAATTAGCTACTATTATTTATGTATGCACTTTTGGTAAAGAAAAAGCAATTTAAAGACATTAGTCACCTTTTAAATTGTTTAGATTTCAAATACAAAAAAAAATCAAGGTTATTGTAGAAATATGTACTAGACGTTTCTATAGTAAACAACAGCCTCCAGGTCTTTGGGATAATGTCAACATGGAGCCAAAAAAAGAAAAAAAAACATGGAGCCATAGCTAGTGAATCCACAACGTTCATCCTAATAATGCTAACACAAATTTTACTATTATTTTCAAAACTTGACCAGACACCTTCACTGGATTTCCAAGCAGACAGACAATCAGGTTTTCGAAGTAACTGGGGCAGCAAAATAGGAGATGCATTTGGCTGGCGGCTAGTGTTATTTTCCCAAACTGCAGGTCTTGAAAAATGTATGCGTTGCAGCACTTATCTCTCAGATAATAGGAAAAATAGGGAAGGGAGCCAAAAACAAATGGGCAGACAGAGAGCAGGGGACAAGAAAGAATGTAAACCTCACAGCAAAGGATAAATAAACCTGACCCCTCCAGTCATTCCACAAAAGCCCACACAATGCATTACAGATTACGGTACCAAAGAAGGAGCACCCATGTAAATCAGTTCCTGTTGGGGCTGTGGAAAGAACGAGAAGGGATGATTCCAAATGAAAAATTCAAAGGATGGATTTCAGCAGCACAGATGTTTGCTAATAAATTACTGCCAGGTCTGAAAAATGCTGACCAATCTGGACGTGAGCAAGGCTTCCGCCCTGTTGCTCCACAGCCAAGACACACTCTCCACAAACAATGCAAGAGTTCACACGGGCCGGAGCTGCAATAAGTTTACGGTGGACAGTTATATGGTCACTAATCAGGTGTAGGTGTCCAACTGAGGTGCAGGAAGACTTCCTCGTGCCAACATGGGCTAATGTCAAAGGAAACCACAACCGGCAGAACACAACAGTGATTAGGCTCCTTGTTAGTGAGACTTTCCTGTGACAGGAGGGTCAACCCCTGCAGCAGCCAGTGCATCTACCAAGAGCAGAAAACTGTGCTTAATGTTGCAATTTAAGTAATATTTTCATCACCATTTTATCTGAGAAATATTCTTGAGTTTTAAATAACTGTTTACTTTATAAAATATTAGAAAATAATGAAAAAAATGTCAACTTCCCAGATAAATGGTATAACTTAACATATGACAAATTGCTAAAGTTCAACTAACAGCCAAAAAACAAAGCAATCAGTTTATAATGATGTAAAACATAGAAATGAAGAAAATCCTCCCATTTGAGAAGCTGTAATCTTGTCTGGATAAATAAGTCCACTCTTCGATCATAGGGTCAGGGCCCCATCTGGTCGACTGAAAAGACATCACATTAAGGTAGCTAAAGGTAGAAGTGGCTTTTTAATAAGTACAAATCTAGTTCATATAAAGTGAGCTTATTTTAAAATTTTAAATTTACAAAACATGTTCAAAATAAAAAAAACTTGAATAACACTTATTCCACAGACCCTGAACTTGACAAACCTTCACACCACAGCTGAAATAATCAGTCAATAGAAAATTCATATGCGACTACTTTACAGTTGATTAAACTTTAGTTTCACCTTCTTAACTATGAGAATCTTCAGTTTTAATTTGCCATTTGAACATCTGGGGATCTGCCCTGTTGGTCAGAGAAAACAAGATTTAAATAGGTCACATTTGACTCTGGAAACCTGGGCCATACCTTTCACTATTTTCTGTCCCATTATAAACTAAACTGATTAAACTGAATTCATTAATCAAAAAAACAGCAGATTAATCAGTCGTAAAGAAGCTTGATGTTTATAAGACAATGGTGCGATCTGTCGCTCAGCACAGTTGTATACACAGTACAGCTCCGTGTCCCAAAACATTAGGCATGATGAATTAAACATTAGTGAACACATACTGTGCAATAAAACTGTTAAGTTGCATAGTGGTCATTGTATTGTAAAATGTTCTTTCATAACCCTTTGTTAAAATAGCAAATGCCATTTAAAAAGTACCTAAGAGCAATGACATCTTTTTTTTTTTTAACAGCCAAGGTCACAAAAAATTACATAGAACTGGGGGTGAAAGTCAAAAGGGTTCAGAATCTCTGTGGACTAATCACTTTCTAAAATCAATCATGATTAATATTTGGTTTGCAGCACTAATGAGTATAAACTCTCATGAGAGTGACGCTGGTTTTCGTTTCTCAGAACTGATTTAAAACTGTAGAGGTGTACCTGGGAAAAACAACAGCATATGAGACAAATAAAATAAAAAGCAGGGGTGGGACAACAGCAAATGTATGGACCTACAAACCTCCACAAGTAGGAACCTTTCTGGGAAACCTTTGCCTTCCCCCCCGCTTCCATCGCCCTGACTTCCCTGAGTTAATGAGAAAACTCCAATGGGATTTACCTCATGTTGCTGCTGCTGCCCTGTGCTTGTCAGAGGAAATGGTAGGGCTATGGATCTGACATGTCGAAGATAAGAGGTTAACAGGCCTAAAACAAGAGCTCGGTATACCCTTCATCAATCCCACATGTTTAGGGTGGGAGGGGCAGAGCACTGGCTTCTTTACTTTGTACAATTCTGATTCTGCTTCCAGGAGTGTTTTGATCCTATTCCCCCTCCATCTTGGAAATACACATGCACAAACACACACAAGCCTGCCCACACATACACACGCTGGGCAGAATGACAGCTCAGCTAGTTTGCGTGCAAGGGGCCAGAGATGGTGTTGTGTGGTCTATGTGTATGCGAATATGTGGAAGGATCTGCGGAAAGGTCTGGGCTATGTGTGTGTGTATATATATATATGAGTGTGTACAGTACGTGTGTGTGAGTGAGTGTGTGTGTGTGGTCTGGGTGTGTGGTCTCTGGCGTGGGCCTGGGGAGAACCTGCTGACGGCTGGGATGAGAAAAGAGCCGCTGTGTTTACTTTACTCTGGGGGCTGTGCATGGACACGGGAACACTGCCCAGACCCCTAGCTCCAACACGAGTGTGCACGCACACACGTGCAAAGACACACACATGCACTAAGTCACGCAGAAACTAAGGAGACTCTTACACAAGTCTCATGTCATGCACAATCGCCAATACCTTGCAAACTAGGTAACAGAAACTATAATTTAGCTCTAACAAATTTTTCCTTAAAGTAGCATAAGAGGAAAACCAAAGAGGTTTCTGAAGCTTCAAGTGGAAACTTGGGAGCTTGGCAGCATTTTCCATGAGAAGAAGAATGTATTATCCTCTAGGGGGCATCAGAGGATCCTCAAAAGGTTCTACCCCACTGTGCTCCAACATGTGTCAAACCCTCTCATACAGTTAAGGTTAAATTTAATCAAAGACAGCACAGAATCAGATCTAGCGCCTTTTCTCTCACTCGATTCTCTTCCAGCCAGATGCTGTTAGCCCCCACCCCTCCCTCTCTCTCGCTCTGGTAACAGGGCTAAAAAGGCGGGGTTGTTTTCCTTGGAGGCTGACTAACAAACAGCGGGGTTGGCAATAATCAGTGTGGTAGCTGTGGAAGTCTGAGGCTTGGGATCTTCTTGCAGCGCTGCTAACAAGTGACAACCCTTCCTTGATGTACAAGGACAGAAAGCAAAGGATTTTTTATTCTAAACAAATCTTTTTGTCACATGAAACCATTTCATTTTAACATACCACAGCACACTATAATTATTCTGTGCTCAATAGTCTGGGCTACATGGCAGCAACGGGTTTCGATTTCATAGAAATGAAGGGTAAAATTAAAAGATACTGGAAAAAACACACACACACACACACACACCATACTTGGTGCATAGCAGACGCCTTCATGGGTCCACTTGGTTCTGAGGTACCAAGACTGGACTCATGGCTTGAGTCAGCTCAGATCCAAATTCTGATTGGGTCAGGTCAGGTCTCAGGCCCAAATCCAGAGTGGATACAAATGGAGCCAAGTGTATGAAGCATCAGGTGTGTTTTGAGCTGTGACACAGAACAAGACCAGGGAACTCACTGGAGCTGTGCTTGAATGAAGCCGAACTTGTTTTAGGAAAATCACTTGCTGGTAAGATTTCTGCTATTAAGTGACACCTTTATCAGCTGCAACATTAAAATGATGAATACAATAATGTGTCAGTAATTGTAATAACACAATAATGTGTCATTAATTATAATATATAGGTGCTAATACCTTTGCTCTTTTACTTTAACATTTTTAACAGAGTATTTTTATACTGTAGTGTTGCTACATTTACTTTAGTAAAGAATCTTAGTACTTCTTCCACCACTGCAGGCAACAAGACTGCTATAGCCTTCTAAATAATGCACCAAAATCAATTGCCAGCAGTTTAAACATCTGTGGATGCTACTCAACTCCTCCTCCAAACTCTGACCTTTGTCTAGTTTTTATTTTGACGTTAAAACATGACAAACTATCTGCATCCTTACAAACGTGACTCGATCTACAGTACCTGACTCGTCATATCAACACACACTCTTCCACATGATCATCTCATGAATGAGACGTTCATACCTTGGGTCATATGCTGCTCTGAGCTCAAAGGTGACTCACATATGGCTGTGATTGGCAAGCGTGCTTGTGTGTGTGCAAGAGAAAGTGTGTGATGCGTTTAAGGGGCACAAAGGGACCCATTTAAACAGCTCATCACCCTCAACCTCCTCCATCGCCCATCAGAACAGCTAATTCACCAACGGCTCAGAATCTCCCCACCCCCCACCCCTGACTTCACTCCAGGCTCTCCAACATTACACAAACACCAGATTCCATCAAAGACCCCCCGACTCCTCTGAATGCACAGAGCGGGCCAAACATCACCCTGCCTGATCACACGGGCTGGGTGGAGCTGTGAACAATCCTGCTCAGTGCTCGTTCATACCAAGGCCACCACATTCCTCTAAGATGTGGAGAGAGCAATGTAGCAAAATTTGACCATAATGTGTGACAACTGTATCATATTCCCAATAAATGGATCATATCAATGTAAACTGTGCAGGCTCTGTTTGATGCTCTGACCACTGGCCAGTCACTGAGTTTTCCACAATGAGTCAGCATGCAGCCGATCCCAGAGCCCATGGAGAGACTTTCGTGACAGAAAAAGAGGACAGAGTGATCTGATGTGTGCTTGTGGCTCTCTATCCTACCATCATCAAGTCTGCCTAAAGGGTTTGTTATCTTTAGGGCTGTCTGTTGGTTTGTTTGTCAGTCTCAAGTGCTTCTCAGAGTTGGGCCTAACAAAGTGAAATTCCCAATTTCCCATATAAATATCCCGTAACAATAAACAGAAATATAAAATATGAGCTTGCAAACGCAGAAAAATGTTTTCAGAGGATTAGGAGCTTGGAGACAGGCGTCTCTGGCCAGTGATATGGTGAGATAGAGATGTGAACCTTTATGAGTGAGACTCCAGCATCACTGTCCTGGCTGGTTTATATACCGTAAAAAACACATGACAGCATGACAACCATCCGCAGTGACAAACCCTTCAAATTATAAAAGCACTGCTGCTTACACTACAAATCGGCAATTTAATTTAGGGCTGTAATTAAAAATTAAAGTATTTATTTTAAACAATCACTTAATTGTCTATAAATAGTCAAATAAAAAGGAAGAAATGCTCGTCAAGATTTTCCAGTGTCCAATGTAACATTTTCAAATTATATTTTGCCTTACCAACCATCCAAAACTAAAAGATATTTAATTAACAACGGTAAGTAAGAGAGAAAAACAGCAAATATTCACAAAAAGCAAACAATGTGCACACACAATATGATGTACTGACATAGGACGTTGTTACGTATAGTGGGTGTACCAATCATGACAGTCTAAGTGACTGCGCATGTCTCTTGTGTTACTTTGTGAGTTACTCAGCTCATAAAAACCATGATTATTTTGGAGAATACCCTAAACAGTACTACCATGAGAAAAAAGAAAAAACATTTCTCCTGGAACACATTCTGGTTCATCTGCCATGTTAGTAAGTAAGAAAACTCTGTCCTCTCCCATCCTGTTGTACCATGGCTCTCTCAGTCACGGTTGTGGTTCTGTCTGAAAGAAGCTGTGAGGAACATTAATGTAAAAGTGAGCTAGGCTATGCCTGAATGTCAGAAAGCCATCACTTTAACAGATCGATGAAAGAAGCAATGTTATGTATCCCATGTCTGTAAAGGGCTTATAATTTTTACCAAAACTGCTGCTGAATACTGTTCTGCTAATTGACTAACTGTGTAATTAACCCTTCCAGCTCCTCCTGCAACTAACAATTATTATTTTTTAATAATTATTCTGCAAATGATTTGATTAATAGCCTATTTAATCAATAATCCACTAAACATTTTAAAATGCCTGTCACCATGTCCCAGGGCACAAAGTGACATCTTTAAATTGTTGTCTGACTAACAGTCCACAACCACAAGATATTTTGTTTCATATAACACAGTAAAGACCAGCAAATGTCCACTGAAGAAAACCAAAAAATTGATAATTAAAATGTTGCTATTTTATTTGTATAACAAATTCATTTCAGCTCTATAATTAAATAACTATTTCAATAACCCTGATTCTTGTTTCAATCTGACCTAAATAAGCCGACTGAGCCTCTCTTCATCTCTTCAAGCTGTCCTGTTTCCCCGGCCCAAACCTCCTCTGTATGTCTGTCCAGGCCTGACTGGGTCACAA